ATGATCAGGAATAGTTTGATGGTGTACAAAGGCTACATTAAAATAGATTTTTAATTACCTAAAAAGATTCTTCTTATGTAAGTCGTTCACTCTAATGAAAACTATTCTTTTTGGTACTCAAAAATAACTATGGCAAATATCTTTGTTTTCTAATTATTTAAGGCAGTTAATATATTTCTTTTCGAATTCTGATTTATTTTGAGACTTTCGACACAATTTGAAGCTTTTGGTTATATACAAAACCTTTTTTTCAGAGTATTATCAATCAATTTGTGTAAGATTTATCTATCTTATAGATTAAGCAACACCTTCATCTTATGTATATTAATTTATCTCATCATAAACATTATTATAATTATTCTTGTCGACTAAATTTTATCAATTCTACTGATGATAAAAGTATGAAAATAATATCAGAAAATTTAGTAAAACGATCATTTGAATTATGTTTTTTTATTTAAATTTAAAAATATCATTGAAAACACTAAAAATCTAATTCATAGTTGAACTGACGGATCTTGACCTACCTTCGATCTTGTTATCATAAGAGAAATTATAATTTCTATATATAGATACATTGTTGATATCTAAATAAAATCCTTGCATATTGAAAATATAGTGAATATAAGTATGCTAGTTAGATCTTTTAAAATACAATTTATTTTATATTGTTAACCAAAGTCAAATGATACTTTTATGTTTTATTTTTTGCAAAAAAAAAGATTCAACAGATATACGACAAAAAGTAACAATAAAAGTTTAAATAAATTAAAGTAAAACAGACAGAGTAATTGACAATTTACAATATGTAAAAAGTCTTCGATTTGTACTGAATACGGTGAGAAAAAATAGTTTGTTTGTTACGAAAAGAAAAATAAATCTGTATCTGCATATTAAACCATCCATTGATTATTTGCGATATTTCTATGATTATTACGACGTTTGAGAAAAATTCTCGAGATTAATTTACGGAATTCATTAACAAGAAATACAGATGATGTTAAACATGTTAGATAGAATAAATCTAAATAAATAAAAAATAGAAACGAATTCATTATTGAGCTTTTCTTTAATGTCACTGAAAAAACTCATACAGATTAAATGACACGGAAAGCAATTCAAATAAACTATATTGATATCTCTGAATAATATTAGTGTTTATCTACCTGCAGCACTAAGAGCTTCTGTTTGAAAAACATATTGTAATGGAGGTAAATAAATAACAGCTAATTGTCCCAGAATTGAAAGAAATACAGCAACAACAAAAAATCGATTTAAGAAAAGTCCAATTTCAAAAATAAATTTTGTCTAAAAATAGAGAGACTTTTATTTTAGAAACAAATTCTTTTTATTCATTCTTTTTTACCTGTGATCGACAACTTAGTGCATTAAACATATCAAAAAATACAAAACATGTAAATGTCATTGTTGTATCTCTTGGTGTTACTTTTCCATCGCTCATCTTAAATTAAATCAATATAAAATTAACTAAATAATGAATTGTAACATACTTCAGCATAAAATACACATAAAGTTCCAACAACAATGATAGCTGCACTTGTAATTATATGAATAATTAAAGGACGATCAATCATTGAATCAGTTACTTTTCTTCGTGGTTTTTTTAATACATCATGATCAACAGGTTCAACACCAAGACTAAATGTTTTTTTTCATTAATTTTCTTTTTTAAATTAAAAGAAAAATATGATATACAAACCTTTGAGCAGGTGGTCCATCCATAATAATATTAATCCAAAGAATTTGCATAGCATTTAATGGATTGGGAAAATGAAAAACTGTAGAAAGTGTTATTAAACTTAAAGCAGCAATACTCCTTGAAAAGAAAAAGAAACTTAATAAAAAAATGAAATTCATTTATTTCTATTTAATATTACGTGCTCAATTGAAATCGTACAAAATTTCTTATATTATGAAATATTGCTTTACCTTCTTCAATCGCTGCCCTAAATATAAACTATTCTAAATCTTTTAATTTGAAAAATATTTAACCTTACATTATCGTATAAAAATCATCTTTAACAAGAATCATATCAGCTGCTTCTTTACATACATCTGTGCCTGTTTGTCCCATAGCTATACCAATATCAGCTGCTTTAAGTGCAACAGCATCATTCACACCATCACCTGTCATACCAACAATATGTCCTTGTGCTTGTAAAGCCTAGTAGAAGAAAATGTGATATTGATAAATTTAAATCAACAAAAAAAAAGAACTTACTGTAACAATTTTTACTTTATGTTTTGGGCTAACACGATAAAATATTGTTGCTTGTGAAACAATATGTTGAAGATCAGTTGCACTCATATGATCAAGATCTTCACCAGATACAGATAAATCAGTACTATCATATATTTTTAAACGAGTAGCTAAATTAAAATCGAGTAAAATATTAAAGTTTGTTTTTTTCGTTAACGAAAATATTACCAATTGCTTTAGCTGTTTTTTCAGCATCGCCTGTTATCATTTTAACACTAACACCACCTGTTTTCAATTGAGAAACAGCTTCTTCAACTTGTGGACGTTCAGGATCAATTATTCCAACCATGCCAACATATGTCAAATCTTCAAGTGAAGTTCCAGTTGCCATAGCAAGAACTATAAGTAAAAAGTTAATTTTTCGTTGTTTCATAAATAATAACAGTATTAAATAAAAACTGAGTTTATACTTCGTAGTCCTTTGGCTGCCATTTGATTTGAATCCATAATAAATTCTCGAGCTTTTTCATCACTTAATGCTACAGTTGTACCATGATGTATATATCGTTTAGATAATCGTAATATTTGTTCAATTGATCCTTTTACATATAAACGTATTTCATTCTAGAAAATTTTCATGGAAAAAAATAAGTTAGAATTAATTGATAAATAAAAAGACAAACTAGATTATATTTTGGTGAACATTGTACAGCCATCCATTTATTTTCATGTGAAAATGGCCATTCACGTTCACGATGGAATTGTTCACGAAGATGAGGAAGATTCATCTAATTAATAAAATATGTATTATTTCGTTTTATTAGAATCATAGCAAAAAAAAATCGGAGACTTACTTTCATAGCAACAGCAATTAAAGCACCTTCAGTTGGTTGACCACGAAGTTGTGAATTAATGATTTCAGCATTATTACAAACAGCACCGACCTAATGAAAATAGTTTATTGAATAGTATCGAAATTATTAAGAAATAAATAAATATCATACTTCAATTATTTTTGAAATTATTGGATGAGAATCATAAGTAACACGTTCATGATTACATAGGACATCACCTTCACCATTATAACCTGAACCGGTAACCTAATAAATCATATTGAAATGTATATAAATATTTCTTAATTCTTTTATAAATATACTTCAGCCATTTCTCCATCGGATGTTAGAATATTTGTTACAGTCATTTCATTTTTTGTTAATGTTCCTGTTTTATCTGAGCATATCACTGTTACACAACCTAATAATATATAGAAAATATAAAGATAAATATAGACAAAGATATTTCTACTCAACCGAGTGTTTCAACAATAGGTAATCTTTTAACAATAGCTTCGCGTTTTGCCATACGTTGAACACCAAGTGCTAATGTGACAGTTACTACTATTGGTAAACCTTCAGGAATAGCAGCTACTGCCAAACTAAAAGTACAAATTATTGAAGAAATTTTTAAAGATATTCAATTTATATTCGCATTAGTCTATATCAATGATGAAGAAGAATGCTCGTAATATCTAACGTTTATTGGATGAGATCCGACTTCTTATTTCGTTAGGTTTGTTCTATTCTGTACATACCTAACACCGATAGTAAACATTTCAAGAAGATGTCTGCCTTGTAACCATCCAACCATAACAATAAAACCAATAATACTCAATGAATAAAAAGATAATTGTTTTCCTAATGCATCCATACTCTTTTGTAATGGTGTTTTTGGTGCCTAGACACAAAAAAAAATACAATTTATTTGTATTTCAAAGAAAATTTCTTTTTCGTTCTACTTCTTGTTGTTGCATCATTTTAAATACTTTTCCAAATTCTGAATTTTCACCTGTACATATCACAATACCCTTTGAAGATAAAGAAATTTATAAATATTAATAGAAAATTTTCTTTTTTACTCTTCCATTTCCACTAAGTACATGTGTAGCCATAAATGTAATATTTCGTCGATCACTAATGGACGTTTGTTTTGAACCAAATTCAATTGGATCTACTGTTTTAATGGATGGTTTTGTTTCACCTGTGAATGATGATTCATCAACGGATAATTCATTTGCTTCAGTTAAACGTAAATCAGCTGGTATACGATCACCAGTTTCTAAGATACATAAATCACCAGGTACTAAATCTTTTGCATAAATATGATGACTTCTTCCTTCTCGTATACAAACACATTTAGGTGGTATAAGTCGTTTTAATGCTTCAATTTCTTTTTCAGCACGATTTTCTTGTATAAATGCTACAGTAACAACAATAATAATAGCTACAGTGATTGATAATGCATCATCATATTGTCTCATTACTAATGAAATAAATGCTGACGCAAGTAAAAGTAAAATCATTGGTTCTTTAAATTGTCCTAAATATTTTTTCCATAGAGGTTCTTCTTCATCACTTTCAAAATCATTATCACCATAATATTTTCGTCTTGTTTGAATTTCATTATCATTTAAACCTAATTTAGAATCTGTTTGTAGCATTTTTATAATTTCTTGTGATGTGTAACGACATGCAGCATCGGAACTAAGAAATGACATCATTATGCAAATATTCTTATTCTCTAAACAATTATAAAAATTTTGAGATCAGTTCAATAAATGGTATTCAATACGATATTCTCAAATCTGAACAACAGAAATCAGGAATTCATTAGTATTCAGAAAGAATTCAATCATCTAAAATATATAAATGTAATAGTATATTCTTCTTATTTCTTGAACTTATTTTGATATTTGCAATAGTGTTAATGTATAAAAACAGTCAACTTCGTTCTTTTTCTTCCTCCAATCTTTTTTTTACGAACTAGTATAAATAGAAAAAAAAGAAGTATACTACTATACTACCCAAACCAAACAGTTGGCTGATTCTCATATCAAAAGAAATATTTACATAAGAACAACAGAAGAAAAAAATAAATCATAAAAACATTTCTTTTATGATATTTGATCGATAAAGTCCAATGTTTTAAAAACGAATTTGATTTTTACATTATATGAACGTTTATTTTTCATCAAACATACTACAAAATGAACGATCAAGGTCAAAACACATGCTGTTACTTTTTATTAACATTACGTATGTATGGTAGTTTATTGGTGAATAAAAAGTAAAGGACAAGTACAATGTATCTTACTGTGATGAAAATTTCTCACACTATCGATAAATCTGAAAAGAAAAAGAAGAAGAAGAATTAAAATTTTGTAATATATTTTTATTAAATATCAAATAAACATGTTTTTATTTTTAATGGAAGAATTATATTAATATGATAAACAGCAAAGTCAAATCAAAAGTAACAGATTAAAAAAAAAAAAGAGAAAAAAATTTCAAGAATGTGAATAAAATTCATAGAAAAATACAAACAGAAGCATGATTGCACAAATCAGCGAATTATGTGCGAATCCTGGACAATAATTAGAATGAAACACACTCACACACACACACTATCAAGCTCAAGCATAAAAAGTTCATTTAATTTTCATGTATATTGATTAAAAATTATTTATTTTTTTATTTTCTATATAAAATACAAAAATGAAATATATATTTATTTATTAAGTAAATTTACTTTGTATGTCCATTCGTATATGATGTACCATTATTTATATGAAATTTTTTTTCTATATGATTTATAAGTGATGAAGTTTGTTGAATATTTCTTCCACTTAAATTCCAAATTACAACTTGACCAAATAAATCAGCTGAACTTATTTTTACTAAATTCGTATTTTCTGTTTGATAAGGAACGATTTGTCTAAACAAAAAACAAGAAGATATATTCGAAAGTAAAAACATATGAACTCACGTGATCATGCTTTGATGAGTTGATACAGGTTCTGGTGTTTGTGTTTGCATTGATGGTTGATCAAAAAGACGACTAAGACAAAAAACAAACATATATAGATAATGAACTTTTAACTATGTAAAATGAAAATGCAAGACTTTCATGCAGAAAAATAAACACTGCAAACACACTCTTTTTTATCCTTCATACGAGGCCTGATATGGCGTAAAAAATTCATTTTCTTCTCTATATAAGAAATATGTGAATAGAAGAATAATCTAAAATCTTAAAATTCTAACCCAATTGATTGTCTTCCAGTTGATGTTTCTTGTGAATCAAGTTTTTCTACAAATTCAATTGTTCCTTTTCGTTCATCATAATTATAAATCAATGGTGAAAATTCATGACCCTAAAACAAAAATCAAATATCTTCAATTAATAAATAAAAATCCTTGATTTTCTCTTCTTACTGCAACAATGATTGTTGATTCACTAACAAAAATAATACAACGGAATGGTAGATAATTTGTAATTTCCATTGTAGTTCTAAAAAATTATTTTTGTAAAATATAAGATTTTAAATCGAAAAACTAACTTAGATGGATTATTTGATGAAACAGCAAATATTATTGAATTATGTGATACCCATGCAAGATTTTCACCTGATGGTGAAAAAGCAACATCATGAGTCCAACCCGATTCTAAATTAATAAACATCATTCTATTTGAAAAGAAATATATATAAATTCATACCACATGGAAATTCATGTAATAATTCTCCTGTATTTGTAATTTTTCCCCAGGCGGATGTCTCTGCTTTATTATCAACAGCTTTTACATATCCCGAATAAATGCGAACACGATAATCCAAACTACCAACAGCAATTAATTGATTATTTGGATGCCATGCAAGACAAGTTACTGTTGATTTTGGTTTTTTCTTTATCATTTCTGCTGCCCAAAATCTTTGTTCAGTTTCATAATAACATATACCTACATTTTTATCACTTGAACCAATAGCAAATTTATTTTCTAGAAAGACCAAAAAAGACAAAATTGATTCTATTTAATATCAAAAAGATTTACCATCCGGTGACCATTTAGCACAACAAACAGCGCGACTTGTTCGTTGTAATTCAACCATTTGTGGTTTCCATGTATCATTTTCAAATGTCCAAACATATGCATTGTAATCCTAATGAAATATATATATATACTATTAATGTAAATGATAAGAATTCTTACAGCACTAGCAGTAACAATTCGATTCGTTTTAGGTGCCCAATCAATTGCTAATACACGTGATAAATGTTCACATAATGTATGTGTTAATTTCCATTTACCAGCTTGTTTATTATATATACGAAGATCATTTTTACCCAAAGAAACGGCAATCTCTATAAAATTATATAGATAAAAAAAAGGAGTTTAAAATAAATAAAAAGAAAGAGCATACGTGTCCGATCTTTATTCCAAGCATGAGCAATGACAGGAAGATTGCCAAATGAATGTACTTCAGTCATCTAAAACATGACAATAGAATGTTATCTATGGAATATTACTAAGTAACAGAACTGGAATGTGAGTTACTTTAATTGACTCTAATTGATTCATTCACATTCATATACAACTGCATGCACGTAGACGATTACTTATCAACAGTAACAAATAGAATAAAAGTTTGCTAATATAGAGACAGATGGCTCTGTTAGACAATGAAATATTTTCGAAGAAATTAACAATTAAACTATGATACAAATTAAAGACCATGGCAAAAACAATTTCACAGATTGATTTTCTTTTATTAAGAAATGTATTTTACTCTTCATGCATATTGATTTATTAGAAATTATTTTCTAAATGGAGCCGTATGAAAATTCTAGATAAGTCTTTGTTTATATAGGATAATTTCAAATTATCAATTGACTGAATATGCTTAACTGACTTGATGGTAACTTTATAAATATGATCTAGTGAATAATTTCAATTTGTTATACATTTAAAAACATTAAATTCACTTTCTTCGTATTTGAAATACTATATATCATATTATTGGTACAAGAAAAGATTTAAAGTGTTGATTACAACATGATGATGATATTCGATATATTTTATACTTACCAGAATATAAAAAAAAGATTTGTTTATTTGCTAAGACAGTATAACCATCTTTTAGAATATATGATTACATCATATAGAATAAAATTTAAATAAAGTCGTTGAAAAGTTTTTTTTTATCGTTTTATACAATAATAATTATTACAAACAAAATACTTATTTTCATTTATTATTTAACTTCATACATAGGTGTATGTATATATTCATTTATTTCTGGCGACATTCAGTTCAAAGGTGTCACTCGTTACCGAAGATTTCATCGTTATTCACCGTTCTTTTTCTTTGTAGAAATGTTTCATTATATAAGTTGAAAGTATCGAATAATAAAATTCGTGTATGTAGGTTGAAGCTTACTCACAGGGATTACAAACGAGTGCTATTTAATGTCACTCATATATATCTATCCTTGGGAAGGTCTGAGATAAAGACCAATCGAGACTCTAGCAGGGTTCCATGCGTTTAACGTATGGCAGGTGATCAGAAAGCTTCCGAGTGAAGTGATTTCTCAATGATAATATTCGAGTACAAGATCAACATTCGTTGAGATGCTCTTATCATTGAGAAAGTTGTGAAAGCCTGTGGTCAGCAACATGAAGTTAAATGAGTGAGATGATCATTTCGATGATCAGAACTCAATTCAGACTACTCTCTGTCTACATACCTATTTTTTTATTTTGGTATCACACGTATTTATTCTTGTTTATTTTAATCACACACATGTTTTTATGTTTTCACAAAAGGAAAAAGAGAAAAGACAAATTAATATAATGTGTGAGAGACAATTTGTTTTTTTTTTTAATTACAGAAAAGACAGTGAAGAAAAAAAAAATATATGTATAGTTGTTTGTGGAAAGTTTTATTTACGATAACTTGTAAATGAAGGTGAAGTTGCTGATTGTGTTGACGGAGCACCAAACGGTGTGGCTGGTGCTAAAAAAAAAAGATTGAAAAAATATTTTACAAGTTGATTAATTACCAGTAAAACCAGTTGGTTGTGCAGATGCTCCTCCAAATACTGAACCACCAAATGTAGTTGAAGGTTGTGATGCAGCCGATGTTGATCCGAAAGATCCAAAGGTTTGTTGTGGTGCCGTTGTGTCTGAAGATTGAGAACCACCAAATCCACCAAATTGAAAGCCAGTCGGTGATCCAGTAGATTTTGATTGTGTATTGAAGCCAGAAAAACTGCTACCAAATGTTGGACCAGCACCAAATCCCGAACTGCCAGTTGATGGTGCTGCAGTGGTACTTGATCCAAAAATACCGCCAGCAGGTGCACCAGTGCTCGATGTTGATGTTGGTGTTGTTGAATTAGAACCAAATCCACCAAATACTGAACCTGTAGGTGCTGAAGATGTAGCACCGAATGAACTACCAAATGGACTAGCAGTAGAAGTTGATGTTGCTGTGCCAAAGCCAGAACCGAATGGAGATGCTACTGAAGGACTAGCACCAAATCCACCAGCACTAGAACTTGAAGTTGTTGGAGTACCACCAAATGGACTGGTAGCTGTAGTTGATCCAGCAGTACCAAAAGGACTAGCAGCTGATGTTGTTGCACCGCCAAATATGCTAGTAGTAGGAGCTGAACTTACGGCAGCTGTGGATGCACCACCGAAAATACTCGAGGTTGAAGTTGTTGACGAACCAAATATACCAGTAGTAGGAGCTGAAGTTGTAGTAGTTGTGGATGCACCACCGAATGGACTTGAAGCTGAAGGTGCTGAACTACCGAATGGACTTGAAGTTGTTGAGGTTGTAGTACCAAATGGACCAGGACTTGAAGCTGAAGTTGTTGTAATTGAAAAACCAGAGCCAAATGCACTACCAAATGGACTAGAAGCAGCTGTTGTTGTTGTAGTTGTTGTTGCAGCAGTGCCACCAAATGGAATACTGGATGCGGTCGATGTTAAATTAAGTGAAGTACCACCGAATGGCAGCTTAGAGCCGAATGCACCTGGACTAGAGGGTACAACAGGTTTTGTTGTTGGTGAAGTTGATTGAACTGATGTTGTAATTGTTGAAGAAGGTGATGTAGCAGCAAACGATAATTGAGTTGAAGCTATTGATGCTAGTTCAGATGAAGCTGATTGACCTAGTTTAGAAGAATTTCCAAATAGTGTTGATGGTACAGCTTGGTTTGATGTCGAAGCATTTACTGGTTGATTTGGTAATGATGCTGTATTTGTTGGAGAAGAAACTGTATTATTAAGTAATGCTCGAATAGTACTATCACCGGATGTCGATGTTGTTTGAAATTTGCTTAAATCAGTAGGTGTTTGAGTAACAGGTTTAGTTTGTTGAAGTGTCATTGGTGCATTTGATGAAATAGGTTGTGTAGCTGGTGTTGCAGGTGTTACAGATATTGTTGGTATTGGCGAAGTCATCGATTTTGCAGGTGTTTGTAAAATATTTGTAGTCTGTAATGGTTTATTAATAGATGATGTTTTTGCAAGATTTGTTGTTGGTGTTTTAGAAATAGTTGGAGTTTTATTAATTGATGTCATATGAGATTTGTTTGTTGCTGATAATGGACTTGTTGCAGCGGTATTTGATAATTCTTGTAATTGTTCAGGACTTGTTGCACCAGAAAATAAATCAATGGATGCTCGAACAATACGAAATATATTTTTATAACTTTCAGAATCAACCGATGGTGAATTAGGTTGTTTAGGTATTGGTGATTGAGTAGAAGGTGTAATTGGTTTCGATATTTCAATTATCGATGGTTTTTTTGATTCGATTAACGATGATGACGTTGATGATAAATTGATTGTAACAGCAGGTGGTACATTAATTTTTAAAATATTTTTATGATTAGCTTGTAAATGTGATAAAATTTGAGCATCTAAAGAATGAAATGGTCGATCAGATGATACTGGCATTTTACTACAAAACAAATAATGTATCAAAAAATAATATTACAAATGTTGTATTTGATATCTTACTCAGATGTTTTACTAATCGATAAATCTCTATTTAATTTTGAACAAATATTTTGTAAATCTTTGTCTGTTTCAGTTACTTTATGGCTAAGTTCACGTATACGTTTTTGAATTTGTTGTTTCATTGTTCCACTTGTATTTAATGATATTTCTAAATCTGGTAAAAAATCCCTAAATAAATAAGAACAATAAAATAAAATTTACAAATTTATTTTCTTTACGAACTCATTTTCAATGTCATCATCAGTTACTGATAAAGATTTATTATGAATTGTTGTATGTGTTAATTGAAGTAAAACATTCAGATCATGTTTAAGTTGATCATATTTCGTTTTAATTGAATCAAGACGCAATTGTGTCCATGGGTCAAGTTGTCGATCTTTTAATAAATTATAAAGATTTTCCGTTTGACTTAATTTCATTTGATGACGAGCATCTTCAATTTTTGTTATAGATTCTATATGTTCACTTGTCATTGTTTTTATCGATTGCATTGATTTCTAAAAGAAATTAGTTCTTTTTTTTTATTCGAATGAACAATAAAACCTTTTCCCTACTTGAATTGATGTTACCATATTCTTAAGTGTGGTTATTGAATCGTCTAAAGATTTGTCTAGATTGATCGATGAATCAGATTGTTTTGATAATGGTTTTTCTACTGATTTCAATCTCGAACGGAATTCATCGACCTATAAAAATAATACAATGATTTAATATAGACTGTAGCAAAAAAAAGGTCCCAAACAAGTATGGCCTATTCAAACTGCAGATTCCCCCTTCCCCCACGCTATCCAGACTCCAGATACTTTATCATTGCAAGTTCCTCGTAAAGAATAGAGTAAAATATCTGACATGATTACATATTGTAGAGTGACATATGGAACTAAGATATCAGATATAACATTGTTTATCTCAAATATCATTCACTTAATGTTTCCGTATCGTAAATACGACAATAACAAATCGAAGAACAATTAGACAATTATTATAAGATTATTTACCATTTGAAAAAGATTTTTACTATCATAAACTGGTTGTTCATTTCTGATTGTACCTAAAAAATATTGATAATATTTAATAAGAAAAACGAAGTATATTAATATACTTTTTATTGGTGCTTGTTGTGCAGACGAAGTTGGTGGTTTATTCATAATATTCGTGCTTATCGTTTTTGAAAGATCATCAAATGATGATCCATTTGGAATTTGTGCAGGTGGTTGATTAAAATTAAGAACACTGTTGGTACTTTTTTCTTTTGGTTGAGGAGAAGAAGTAAAAATTGGTGTTTGGGTAGGTGTCGGACCTGATTTTGCGAATGAAAACCCATTAGCAGATGATGATTCTATGATTAACAAAAAAAATTCAGTTAATCTCTTGAGTAACGATATTAAACAAAACAAAAACATATTCTCCAAGGTTAATATAAAACATTATTATATTAACAATAATTCATTTAGTCT